GGCAACATATTGATGGATTTTGTTTTTTTATCCAATCTGCTACTCTTTTTCTCTTCAGTGGTGCATTTAATCCATTCACATTCAGTGTAATTATTGAGAGGTAAGGTTTTATTGCTGTCATTTTGTTCAATTCTTTTTGGCGTTGTTGCTAGTTACTTTGGTCCATCCTGTCTTCTGTGGCATCTCTGTTTCCAGGACATCTCTCAGTGTTTCCTGTATGGTTGGTCTTGTTTTTACGAACTCCTTTAGGTTTTGTATTTCTGGGAATATTTTAATCTCTCCTTAGTACTTGATGGATAGTTTTGCAGGATACAGTATTCTTGGTTGAAAGTTGTGTTCTTTAAGTGTTTGATAAGTGCCATCCCACTCTCTTCTTGCTTGCATGGTTTCCACTGAGAAACCAGCAGTTAATCTTATCTTTTCTCCCTTATAGGTCACTCTTTGTTTCTCTCTCGTTGCTTTTAGTATTCTCTCGTCTTTAGTTCTAGCAAATTTGACAATGATGTGCCTTGGTGTTTTTCTTTTAGGGTCTATTCTATACGGTGTTCACTCAGCTTCTTGGATATATATTCTGTTGTTCTTCATTATGCCCGGAAAGTTTTCCTCTAGTAATTCTTTCACAACTTTTTCAGTGCCTTTACTTGCTTCTTCCCGTTCTGGGATTCCCATGATGTGGATGTTATTTATTTTAATGGTATCCCACATTATTCTCAAGCTTTCTTTTGTTTCCTTCTTTTTGGATTCTGCTTTTTTCTCAGTCAGATCTCTGGTGACAATTCTATCTTCTATTTCACTGATTCTGTTTTCCATCTCTTCTCCTCTATTCGTATATCCCTCCATCATGTTGACAGCATCAGAAACCTTAGATTTCAAATTCTGGATCACAATTTCTTGTTTTTCCAATGCCTCAAATGCTTCATTTGTTTTCTCTGCATTGTTTTGGATTGTTTTTTAAGCTCCTCCTTACCTTTGCTAGCACTATTCTGTATTTCATCCAGTTATTTTTTTATCCATTGTAAATATTCAATTATTGTTCTTTTAAAATCACTATCAGAAAGATCCATCAGGCTTTCTGGCTCCAGGAAATCCGTTGCTACTGTGTCTTCTTTGGGGGTTGATATCTTGCTTTGGGCTGGTGGGACAAGTGAAGCACTCTGTTTTCTACGGGCCATTGGTGTGGCAGAGTTCTTCGTGTCTGGCGTGGTAGCTGGTTTTTGATTTGACATCACTGCTCCAGAAGAAGGTTGGAAAATGTTTCCCACTTTGGCCCTCTTTTTAATCATAATCACATTTCTCATCTTCTGGAGTCAAGTGAAGACCCTTTCTGCCCCCAGTCTTCAGGTTGTTGTTAGGTGTTGGTGAGCTAGCAACAATTCATAGTGACACTATGAATAACATTTAAGGTCTCTGTCCTATCCTATGCCATCCTCACCATCTCTAACAAGCTTGTGTCCACTGCTACAGTCACTGTGTCAAAGTGTTACTGATAGCAATGGGTGCTCTGTCACAGACCATTATATTATTGAGTAAAGCTACAACTTCATTACATCACTCTGATGATTGATTAATTTGTAGTTGGTTAATCAAACTACCATGTTTGCTAGTTGATTCACTAATCCTTTTCTGACAAAAAGGTCTAAGATTGTTGAATTCCATATCAAAGTTTTAACCCTTCTGGAATAAATAAAAACTTCAAACATGATTTCATTTATAAAATATTTAAAAACTAATTTTTGCTAAAGGACCAAAAATACCCATTTTTAAAGTGCTACTTTTACTGAAAGATTAGTTATGCTGCAAATCAACTTTAAGGAAAAATTTTTTAAAATATTACTATACCTTAAATTTATAGAGAAACCACCACCAAAAGGAATCATGTAAAAGAGCAATAGAGGCATCTGAGAGAAAATGAGCCTTCCAGATTTTGAAAGTATTTTCCTATGGGGATGCAAGGGTAGAGTGAAACAGGGAGATAAAATTAAAACACATTATTAAGAACAATAATGTAAATGGGATTTATCCAAAAGCTAAAGGCTACCACTATTATAAGTTGCTGTTGTTGTTGTTGTTGTTATGTGCCGTCGAGTCGCTTGACTATTATAAGTAAAATATAAAAATTTTCATTATCAAGTCTCAAAAACTCAAACTCATTGCTGTCAAGTTGGAACTCATAGCTAACTCTAGTGAGTTTTCAGTGGCTATAAATATCCAGGGAAGATGGAGATGGAAAATCTCCATTTTTCTTATATGGGTAGCTGGTAGATTTGAATCAATAGCCTTTGAGTTAACAGCATATCTCTCTTATCAACTAGGACAACAGAGCTCTCACATTAAAATAGTAAAAGGAACAACTAATTTTAGTACCATTTTATTTAACCAAATGTGTAATATTATCATTTAATAAAACAAAAATATTTACTTTAGTACTAAGTCTTCCAAATGTGTATTTTATAGTTATATGACATTTTAATTTTAATATTAAGTCTCATTAGAAATACTGAAATACGGAAAACAAGGAATCTTCTGTGTATTATATTCAAGTTGTACTAAAGTTCATCATGGGAAGAAGAAAAGGAAAAGGTAAATTTAAATGAACTGTGTAATGTAAACACCTCTCTAGTGAAACTGAACTATAAACTTACATTATGACCAAAGCCAAAAAGGAAATAGTAGATTAGTATTTATATTTCATACAATCTATGACTATCATTTACTTCCAATCACACTTAATTTTTTCATTAACTAAATAGCTTATTTTTAGATTAATATTTAAGTTATGGAAAGTAAAATAAAATTGTTAAAAAGTGAGGTTATTATTCACCCTAGCCAAATTTCAAAAGATCAATAATCATATTGACTAGTAGCTACTATAAAGAAAATGTAGGATATACCAAGAATATTAAAAACACAGAACATGCCATAATTTTCTTTTTAACATTAACAGCAGATATCAACAGTCACCAGTTGATTCTATCCCAGTGAACCTAGTTAAGACCCTTGCTATTGTTAATTGCTAACAACTTGGCCTGACTATGGAGACCTCACACATAAGAGAACAAAACATTTCCCACTCTTGCACCACTTTCATTATATCTGAGCATTGAGCCCAATGTTGAGGCAATTTTGTGGCTGCAGAATCTGTCTAACCATAACACTCTGCACAAGAAGACAACTATAAAAATTAGCCTACAAGGTGAAATATATTTACTAGTACTGCCAACAACTCTAAATTTTGATCTGAATAAGTATATTCAACTGATTATTTTCTCTTTTTATTAATAAAAATATTCTGTGGGAATTTTGGTGGCATAGTTCGTTGAGAATTGCACTGCTAACTCAAGTTAAGTTGTGGTTCAAATCCAGCTCTGAGGGAAAAAAGATAGATGATCTCCTCCCATGCGGTTTATAGCCTTTTGGAAATCCACAGGAGGGTCAGTTCTGACAATAATAATGAGAGATTCCGAGATTGAGAAAATATTCTAAATGCCAGATTCAATAGCTTCCAAGACTCCTTTCAGTAAAATCCACTAAGAACAAATTCTAGTTCTCAATTACAAGTCTGTAAGAAAGACATTTTTACAAGTTTTCTAGGAAGAAAATTCTTTAACATGTATTTTGTGGGGATATTTCTTTTTCATAGGTCATTTAGTATGGAGTATACTGATAGTAACTTCAATTTAGATTTCTTGTTGCTGTTGAATACTATCCAGTTGGAACCAACCCATAACTGACTGTCCAGTGGGTTTCCAGAGGCAGTTAAGAACACAGTAAGAAATTATCTTTTTAATCACAAAAGTATGAAAAGTATATACACATAAAGAAGAAAATTAAAATATGCAGGCAGAGGGGAGAGAAGATAGAATATTTGTGTTTACTTTGCTTGGAAATTTCAAATAAAGGTGTTTTTAGGGCAAAGTAACTAACTGTATGATTGCTCTAGTTTTCAGTTTTACTTATTATTGAAAAAAGTTTTAAATTCTTTGAAAGATAGCTATATTTAGTCATGCAACTAAAAATATTAAAAATAGCAGGACAAATATATACTAAGCCATAGGGCAGGAATAATTCATTGTCATAGAGTCTGAACTGACTCATAATTGACCCTTCGGTGGGTTTTCAGGCTCTTCAAATTGCAAGGAGATTATCCATGTTTTTTCCTGTAGGAGAGATGGTAAATCTGAATTGTCTGACTTTTTTGTTGGCAGTACAACTCCTTATCCACTAGGCCATCAGAGTCCCCTAGAGTAGAAATAGGAAGAGGAAAACATCTGTTACACTCAAGCCAATGCACACTGGCAAACACAGACTCCTGAGATCACAATACATAGTCCAAAACATTCTCTTCCAGTAGTCAGTGTGTCAGATATCATTAGTCTTTACTGGAGGATTTAAGGCTCAAAAGTTTGTCTTATACCTCATTTACCATAGCTCTAAGTAAGTAAAGTCCTGGTTTATGAAATTATATTTTCAAAGTCCATTGTACAATAACAAGAAAATGCTTACGTACATCAAAGTCATGCGCTTTTAATATAAAAAGAAAAATTTGTTCAGCATCCAAATGTCTGGGTAGTTGAGTAAGTTCATTTGCTTTAAATCCTGAGAAGCTGTAGCCCTAGAAAGAAGGAAATGCTATAAAAAACTTCTCAGTTTAGTACTTCATATGGGTCAGAAAAGGAAATACATAATTATAGTTTCCAAACAAAAAACCGTAGTGTACTTCTTTTTATGACATTAAACAAAAAATACATATTCTACTGAGATGAAAATATTCAAATATTCTGCTTCTTTGAAATACAGGTGACTGGCATATTCATGTGACAAATGTAAAAATAAAACAAAGGCATATTTGAGAACTAGATTTGACATATACTCAAATGACAAAAAAATTTAGCTAGTTTATAAAAAAAAGTACTTAATAAGAACTTTTAAAAGTCATCACATGACAGAGAGGGTACAGCCAACACAGTACTGAAAATAACAGAAAAGCATGAAAATGCAATCCAGAATATTAAGACCTAAATGGCAGAAATGTCCAACATACTAGAGGGACAAAAAAGTGGAACAGGAGAAATGGAACAGAGTGACTTCAGTGAGGATGGAAGACAAGAGCCTTAATGGAAACATCCTAGAATAAAAGTCAGAGATGAGCTGTAAAGAAAATAAAGAAAACATTAGAATTGTGGAATGACATCAAAAGGAACAACATACATATGAGTGGAATTCCAGAACATGAGAGGGACAGGGAAGTCACTGATAAAATTGTGGAAAAGGTACTGGAAGAAAACTTTACAGGTATTAAGAAGAACAAAGAAAGCCACATTCAAGAAGCTCAGTGAACATCAAATAGATTAGACCCCAAAACAAAAACATCAAGGAATATCACAGTCAAATTCTCCAAATTAAAAGATTAGAACACCCAAAATAATATGAGAAATACAAAGAGTCTTCTACAAAGAGAAAACAATTAGTCAAGTTCTCATTTCTCAGCAGAAACCACGGCAGCAAATGACACTGGGATGGCACATACAGAAAGTTAGGGAGCGCTGGTGGCCTAAGGGCAAGAAGCTGAGCTCCAATCCCCAAGGCACACTGTTAGGAGAAGGATGGCAATCTCCCCCTCGGTGATTAACTGCCTCTAAAAACCTGCTGGAAGGTCAGCTATGGGTCAGTTCCAATTCAACAGTACACAACATACAGAAAGTTGAAAGAAAACATTGCCAGCCAAGGATCCCAGCAAAGCTGTCCATCACATATGAAGAAGTCAGGGTATTCATGTGAAAACAAAACCAAAACACCAAAAATTTTAAGGGAAACACTTTACGCAGAGACATCAAAGGAAAATGGATGTATGATAGTAACCAGAAACAATAGGAAAAGAAACACAGCAAAGTGGGAATGATAAAACCTAGCCTGACAATAACTGTGCTTAATGTGATTGGACTAAATGCACCAATTAAGAGAAAAAGAGTAGCAGAATGGATAAAAGAAAAAAAAAAAACCAACAACCCATCAATAGCTGTCATATGATACCATATGCTGTTCTGCTCCATAAGAGACACATCTTAGAAATAAAGAAAAAGAGAGACTCAAAATCAAAGGCTGGCGGTGGGGGGAGGGAATATACCATGCAAATGGCAACCACAGAAAAACCAGTAGTGGCAATACTATTCTCTGATAAAATAGACATCAGAATGAAAACCACAATAAAGGATATGGAAGGGAATTACATAATGATTAAAGACAAAATAGATCAACAAAATATAACCTTGGTCAACATTTAGGCACCAAATGATGTTGTTGTTGTTGTTATGGTGCCGTCGAGTCGCCTGCGACTCATAGCGACCCTATGTACAACAGCCCTAAACTCCGCTCTGTCCTGTGCCAATCACACTGTCTCTGACACTCC